TTTTTTTTTTTTTTTTTTTTTTTTTAAGATGACCAGTAAGGGGATCTTAACCCTTAACTTGGTGTTGTCAGCACCACACTCCCAGGTGAGCCACAGGCCGGGCGGGAAGACAGGACTTATAAAACATTAGGCCTAGTATTTAAAGAGCCCTACCCTAGGGACGAGCCCGTGGCGCACTCGGGAGAGTGCGGCGCTGGGAGCGCAGCAGCGCTCCCGCTGTGGGTTCGGATCCTATATAGGGATGACCGGTGCGCTCACTGGCTGAGCGCGGTGCGGCCGGTCTCAAAAAGGACAAAAAAATAAAAATAAAGAGCCCTACCCTAGACTGAGCTGGAAGGGTCCCCTACAATTCCCCTGCCACCTCCCTGACCAATAGGCTATGTCATAGGAGAAACAGTATGCCTCATTCCTTTTCCTCCTTTCTCCAATCACTCACCCACTGTTAGAAATGAACTAACTAGAGGGAAAAATATGAGTGTAAACCAAAAGCACCAAAAAGAAATTCTTCAGGCTACCCATCACTTCCCATGCCCAAACCAGAAACTCTCATTAATAGAATCTAACAAGTACATTCACATGAGAACCCCAAAAGTTAACTTAAAAATTTAAAACAAAACAAAAAATAATGGCCATTTAACATTTTTTTTTTTTCGTGACCGGCAATGGATTGCAACCCTCAGTGTCGCGCCCGTACCGGACCGGGACCGGCAACAGGATCGCAACCCTCGGTGTTGCTCCCGCACCTCGCTCAGCCAGTGAGCGGCCGGTCTGTATGTGGGATCCGAACCCTCGGCGGGAGCGCCACACTCCCAAGCGGCGCACTGTAGCAGTGCGTCACCGGGCTGGCCCCCATTTAACATTATTTTTAAAGACAGAGAAAGGGGACAGAATCAGGAGTTCTGGGATGCACAGAAGGTGACAGTGACAGCTACAGTAGTTTCTACAAGCGAAAGGCCTCCATTGCACTAAACCTAGCACAGCAAGTATCCCCCAATGTACCATCAATCAAATGAATAGAATTTTAGATTTGTTTTCTCTTTTTCTTAAAGGCCAGTGACAAGAAAGGAGCTATGGTATGTTTTCCTTGACTGAAGACTGGAAACTCAAAAACAGGATCTTTCTGCCCAGCCAAACACCTCTAGAAGGTTACTGGGCTTGGGGCTATTTTACATTGGATAAGCCCTACCTGAGGTTGGAAGCACCAATGAGAAAATAGTGGCAATTTCTTCCTTTACACTTTACATCCTACCTATTTCCCCCCTCAAGATGTACAAAGGACAGCCTGGGGGAAGGGAGCATTGGGACTCTCAATTCTGGGGTGGGTGCAAAGGAAGGGAAAGTGGGCCCAAGCTGTATGTACAAGAACTGATACTACAATCTATTTTTCCCCGATATCATCCCTTTCCTCTCCCTACAGCCAGCCTAATGAACATATGTTTCTCCATCCTCCATCATTTGGCTTTGTCTGATTGTCTGGTGGACAGGCACCCGGCCTTGAAGTGAAGGAAAGCAGAATTCTCCTTTCAGTGCATAAGGGAGTAACTGGGAAAAGACAGGAGCAGGATCTTATTTCCTAGAAGATGGGCAAAAGCTTTCTTCTGTTGGTCTCCATGTGCACAGAGTCAGGTCTTACAAAAGCGGATCATTAAAGAGTAAGATACAAGGTTTTTAAAAGGACTCCTGACCTTATAAATAATGAGATGTAATTTATTGCCCTTTTCTATCATAGTTCCCTGACATCCTTCTACAAGAAGGAAAATTATTTCTGATGTCCTGGTTCCCTGGGGAAGGGGTCCAAACACACCAGGGCAGGTCAGGTTGCTCTGGACAGTTACAAAGAGCTTTGTCCTATTCCACTTCTGCATAGTGCACACAGAACAGTCCCCACCTTGATCTCTCACAGCCACAAGCCTCTCAAGGACAGCTCTTGCGGTATGCAGAGGTGTCAAAGGTCAAAGCCTGGGGAGAATTCAAGGATCCCAGTTTCATCCTTCCCAACCAGTTGCATGAGTGTCAAAAGGCACTGTGTGTCCAGAGTTGGGATGGGAATTCACCTCATCCCAGGAGGCAGGAACAACACTGTCTATATCAAGGTTTCTTACCCTTTGCACTATTGATATTTTGAGCCAGATAATTCTTTGTTGGGAGTAGTGGGAGTTGTCCTGTGCACTGTAGGATGTTTAACAGCATCCCTGGACACTAGACACCAGTAGCACACATACCCCACCTCCAGGCACGGCAATCAAAAATGTCTTCAGATGTTGTCAGCAGTGTCTGGGGGACAAAACCACTTCCTGTTGAGAACCACTGGTCTATAGGTGAAGCAGCAGATCTTCCACAGTGGGGAGAGAGCCTAGGTGGATTCAGCTAGGCCACAGCTACAAAGGCTCTGAGCACAGCAATGTGCAACAGGGAAGAGAGGAACCATGGGACTCGGGGCAGAAAAGAAGATTCTCCAGAAGGCAGGAAGGCAGGTATTCTCAAAAAGCTGTAGCTGGAAAAGATACCTCCTCAGAGTGTTGGCCTTGGCAGTGAGAAGAGTTAATCAGAAGTCAGTAAGTCCATCCTTCCAGAATTTGCCAGGGAAGACTTAGTCATCAACCAAATTTGGCTCAAGGGTGGTTCCCAAAAGCTGTAGAATTATCTCCGATGAGCCTAGGTCACATCTTTGCTTCCTGAAGCCAAAGTCTAGTCTTTTCTCCCAGGATGTGGCAGGGCAGAGGGAGAAAAAGCCGCTTCCATTGCCTGCTTAGTATTCTGCCTTGTTTCTTGCCCAGCCCTCAAAAACTTCCATATGAAATTTCATTCAAAAAAGAAATCCACAAAATTAAAACCTGTAAAAAGGCAAAGTAGGCAGGCTTGGCTGTATGGAAAAGAGAAAAAGAACAATCTGGATGAGGGAAAGCAGGCATAAAATGTGTGAAGAGGAAACAGGGTGTGTGAGCTGAGAGCTTTACAAAACAAAATTTTTAAAATCTGCATATTTTCTTGAACACAAACACATCAAAAAAAGTCTATAAATTTAGTAAGTAACCAAGGTCAAAGCTCAAATCTGCAAAAAAAGTAAAATAAAATAAAATAAAATAATAAAAAAATTAACTCAGTAAGTAGGACTCCTTTGTCAATGTTCTAGCACCACATCTTTTTTTTTTAAGAAATAATAAAAAATCATTTAAAAATCCTCCCCAAATAATTCCAATACATCAAAAACCATATTTCATACAGATGAGAAGAAGCTCTAACCACCATGACTCTTTGGGACATGGAAAGAGTACATAGCAGTTAAAACCAAAACAAAAAAAAATTCTTTGCAAAAGAAAAGAAGTTTTTTTTGTATCTTTGAATGTAACGCATATAAAAAGTGACGGTTCCCCTAGGCTCCATCAGGAATGGAGAAATAACAGAGAGCAGGAATGTAGAGATTTCTTCTTCCGCACCCCCCAACATGTGATTCTTACCCTCTGTTACTTGTTGAACTGGAAAGAATAGACTCCATGGTCTGAGGGCGTGTCCACCGCCACTGGATTTTGTTGGCCGCTGCTCTCCTGTACCATATCCAAGGAGAGTCATCTTGTGGGTTCCTTTCCTCATGTCCCACTAAAGCAGCCTAGCTAAAACCCACTTAAGGTGGAGTTCCCTCCCCAATCTACCTACTCTCCACACGTATGAGTGTGCGCACATACAGCACCACTTCCCCAACATTTACAGCAGCTTGTCTTCTTCCAAAGGCACACTAGTCAATACAAGCCAGCATCCTGGAACGAACTACTGGCTGGCCAAATGTGAGGAAGGGCTTTATTCACAAACACAGACTAAGTCCTTCCCACATTCTTCATATACCTACCAGCTATTTGTGAACACAGAATCAGCATCATCGTAAAGGAAGATCTTGATCGTAGGAAAACCTGCCTGTTCACTTTCCTATCTTCAATTCAAAGAAATGATAATGCTCTTACCTCAACTGAAACATTGGAAGAAGGCACCGGGGTGTACTGGGAAATGTAAGCTCCTTGCATAGCTGCAGCTGTTGGCATATACTAGAATGAAAAACATCAATAGGCTTAGAGCAGTGATCCTTGGCTACATTTAAAGCATCTGGGGACCTTTTTAAAAGGTGCCTGTCTTCTATTCCTGAGAGAGTCTAATTTAATTGGTCTTGACATTGACTTCTTAAAAGTACCCCAGGTGGTCCTAAAGTATGCTGGCTTAGAGAGACTTCTACCTATATGACTCTCTTTCCTGTCTTCTCCTGCTTTGCCTCAACACAGTGCCTTCTCTGCCCTCTCTGCTTCCTGTGCAAATCAGAATGCAGCAGGCTACCAGGTGCAGTGGTATGTGCCTGTAGTCCCAGACATTCAGGAAGCTGAGGCCAGAGGATCATTTAAGCCCAGGAGTTTTGGGCTGTAGTGCACTACGCTAATCAAGTGTCCGTAATAAGTTCAACATCAATGTGGTGGCCTCCTGGGAACGGGGGACCTCCAGGTTACCAAAGGAGGGGTAAACCAGTCCAGGTCAGAAATGGAGCAGGTCAGAATGCAGCAGGCCTAAAAGAAATCCAGTAAGTTTCATCCATTCTTCCTGTTAGTATTTTGATAAGGATTTCTAGTAAATGTGTATGAACACTTAGATAAACTAATATGCAGAGAGAAACACTATTCATTTAATTTCATGAGTAGAAATAAGTAAAAAGAGGTGAGCTGGGGAGCAGAATGGCTGCACTTCTGGCTCACAGATTATTATCATTTTAGTTTATCTCCTATTCTGAGTGTACCCTCCATGACACTGAAGTGATTCCATCACCATTCATAACTATTTATGTTGAAGAGTATTACACAGATATTCCTTGCTGTGTAGGAGTTTATAACCAGAAATATCCTGCTTTACCGTGCCCGTGCTACTGAGGGAGAGGTGTCCCAGTTGCTGGGTAATGGGTCCCATCATGGAGGCAGGCTGGAGAGAAATGGGATGATCCATTCCTGGAGTCAGAACTGAACCCTACAGGCAGAAATAAAGGACAAGGCTAGTTGGCAGCATCCTGTGAGACAGCCTAAAGAACTGATAGATGGCTATTAGGATCATTAAATAGACATTTTAAAATCCTGGGGAATGGTAGGTGAGCAGCAACCCAGCTGTGCAACAGCAATAGGCACTTGGCCCATCAGTCTGGAGGGACCCTTGTCTAAGAACAACAGATTCACAGAATTTAAGGTCTTATAGCTGGGTTGCACAAGGGACTGAGCCAGAACTCACACCCACATCTCTTGTCATCAAAGCCCATTGTTTTTCTTTACATCAAATTGCCTCTTTGGCTTCTGCCCACTTCTGAACACTCACTGAAGGCTGCATGAGGTATGACTGGTGGTGCATCCAAGATGGATTAGGTACTTGTAGAGGAGATGTCTGAGTCACTCTCTAGTGTAAGCAAAAACAAACAAAAAATGTTATTGCCTAGAAACTGTTGTTCAGCCTAATGATCTGATAATGTTCAGCAAAGCCCCCTAAAGTTGGAATGCCCCCCTCAGAAAATAGAAACATTAGGGGGAGGGGAGGAGGAAGTGGAAGGAGAAGGGATAGGGGGGGAGACTGGATAAGGGGCATAAAGAATAAGTATGATTTGTAACAATGAATATGCTAATAAAAAAAAGAAAAGAAAATAGAAACATTAAAAATAAACTATTTAAAAAATATTAGCAACTCTTAAGTCAATAAGTAACCCAATTAAAAAATGGGCAAAGGATTTAGACAGACATTTCTCTAAGAAGATATGCAAATTGGCAATAAACACACGAAAGAGGCCTAAATGCAAATCAAAAACACAGTGGCATACCACTTCACACTCACTAGGATAGCTACAATTAAAAGGACAGAATAACAAATATTTTACACTATTTGTGGGAATCTAAAATGGTGCAGCCACTCTGGAAAACACTTTGACAGTTCCTCAAAAAGTTAAATATAGAGTTACTAGGTAACTCAGCAAATTCACTGATAGGTATAAATCCACATGAACTGAAAACATATGTCTACACAAAAACTTGTACATGCATGTCCAAAGCAGTATTATTCATAATAGCCACAAAGTGGAATCAGCTCAAATGGCCATCAATTGATAAATGGAGGAACAAAATGACATATATCCATACAATGTAACATTATTCAGCCATTAAAAAAGAATGAAGTACTGATATGTGCGACAACGTGGATGAACCATGAAAACATACTAAGTGAAAAAAGCCAGACACAAAGACCACATATTGTATGATTTCATTTATATGAAATGTCCAGAATAGGCCAATTTATAGTCACAGAAAGTATATTATGGTTTGCCAAGGCATTTCAATTCAGCGGGAAAAAGATGAATTATTTAATAATTTGGTGCTAGAACAACTGGTTAAAATTTTATAATAGGATCTCTATGTTATGTCATGAAGAAAACTAAATTCCGGATGATTACATATTTAAGTTTAAAACAGAAAGATGAAATCTTTAAGACCAGATATACAATATAGAGACTGGGAAGACTTTTTAAGATAGGAAATTCAAAAGCTATGAAAGAAAAAGACATATTTAAATATATACAAATTTAAAATTTTTGTATGGCAAAAACTAGTGATTCCCACAATCTGGTCCCTGTAATAGCAGCAGTAGCATCATCTGGGAATTTGTGAGAAATGCAAATTCTTGCTTCTACCCTAGACTTACTGAATCAGAAACTCTGCATGTGGTGCCCAGCAACCTAGGTTTTGTTTTGTTTTGTTTTGTTTTTTTCCTTTTTGTCTTTTTTCGTGACCGGCAACGGATTGCAACCCTCAGTGTCGCGCCCATACCGGACCGGGACCGGCAACGGGATCGCAACCCTCGGTGTTGCCCCTGCACCTCGCTCAGCCAGTAAACGGGAACCGGTCTGTATGTGGGATCCGAACCCTCGGCGGGAGCGCTGCCGCGCTTCCCAAGCGGCGCACTGTAGCAGTGCGCCACCGGGCCGGCCCCAACCTAGGTTTTAATAAGCTCTCCAAGTGATTCTCTCTCTCTCTCTTTTTTTTTTAGAGTTGGACTGTCCTTAATATGTAATGTCTACAAGGCATCCAAGTCAGAAAATCAACTAGGTATTTTTCTATATGATTCTGAATGGAGATCATATCTGACGTTTACAGAGTGAAGAATTTATGCCTTAGAAATGGATTAGAGTTGGTTGGTTAGCTCAGTTGGTTAGAGCACAGCTTTGTAATACAAAGGGCATGGGCTCAGATCCCCTTACCAGCCAGCAGCCAAAAAAAAAAAAAAAAAAAATGAAAAGAAATGTATTAGGTCATTCAGAAGTTTAATTGTTATAAAAAAGAAAACAGAAAGATAGGGAGAAAAAAAGAAGAATGAAAGACGCACAGAAACAACGATAGAAAGAAAGTAGGAAAGGAGGAGCCAAGGGCAGCCCCTCTGCCTAGAAGCAGGCAAGAGAACACACCCTGGGTCCTAGGCTGTGGTCAAGGGCAGCACCCCCTGCTCAGAAACAGGCAAGAAAGCTCACCAAAAACACCACTTCCATGTGGGTGGCCCACCACAGCCACCACCACAGCCACACTGCCGAAAAAGCATTTTGAAGCCACAGCAGTAGCCACAGCCATCATGGAGGCAGCCCACCAGACACTCGATTGCATTAACACAAGAAGAGTCACCAGTGGAGACTGGAAAAAGAAGAGGACATCTCTCTCCTCAAAGACCACTCCAGAGTAATAGAAGAAGCAACTGCTCTACCAGAGGACCAGACATCAACATAGAGATACTAGAAGTATGAAAACCCAAGAAACTATGACACCACCAAAAGAATACAGTAATTCTCAAATACCAGACACCATATAGCAGGAAACTCTTGAAATGACTGAAAAGGAATTCCAAGCAACAATCATAAGGAAGCTCACTAAGATTCAAGAAGACTCAGTTAGACAACAAATAAAATGAGGAAAAAAAATCCAGGATATGAAGGAGGAAATTTACAAAGAAATTAATACCATAAAAAAGAATGCAGCAGAATTCATGGAAGATTCACTCAACAAAATACAAAACACAACTGATAGCATAAGCAGCAGGCTGGAACAAGCAGAAGAAAGAATTTCTGATCTTGAAGACAGTTTTTCAAAATAACCCAGGCAGACAAAAAAAAGGAAGAAAGAATTTTTTAAAATGAAGAAAATCTAATAGAGCTACCAGACAACCTTGAGCGCACAAACATTCAAATCATGGGTGTTCCAGAAGGGGAGGTGAAAGGAAAAGGCATGGACAACCCATTCAATGAAATAACAACAGAAAACTTCCCAGGTATAGGGAGAGACATGGACCTTCAGATCCAGTAGGCTCAAAGATCTCCAAACAGATTCAACCCAAAAAGATCCTCTCCGAGACACATTACAGTAAAACTGGAAAAGCTCAAAGACAAAGAGAGAATCTTAAAAGAAGCAAGAGAAAAGTGTCAAGGGGGCCCCTATCAGATTAACAGCAGACTTCTCAACAGAAACTTCACAGGCCAGAAGAAAATGGGATGGTAGGGGCTGGCCCATGTCTCACTTGGGAGAGTGTGGTGCTGATAACACCAAGGTCATGGGTTCAGATCCCTATATACGGATGGCCAGTTAGCTCACTTGGGAGAGTGTGGTGCTGACAACACCAAGTCAAGGGTTAAGATCCCCTTACCGGTCATCTTTTTAAAAAAAGAAAAAGAAAAAGAAAATGGATGGTATTTTCAAAATACCAAAAGAAAAACACTACCAGCCAAGAATACTATACCCAGCAAGGCTATCCTTCAGAAATGAGGGAAAAACTGTGTATTTTCCAGACAAACAAAAACTGTGGGCATTTACCACTCATGATCAGCCCTACAAGAAATCATCAAGCAAATCCTTCAACTGGAATTTGAAAAATATTAATCATTACTATGAATATACAGGAAAGAACAAAACCCATAAACATGAGTATACTAATTATCCTAATTTGATCACCACATATTGTACACATGTATTGATATTCAAATCTGTACCCCAGAAACATATATAATCAATTATGTTTCAATTTTTTTTAAAGTTCATGAAAAAAAAAAAAAAAGAACAAAACCCACTGGTAGGACAAAAATGCAAATGAGAAAGAGAAAAACTAAATCTTACCACCACAAAAAACATAATGACAATAATGCCCCTGCTTTATTTCTGATTTTAGCAATTTTGGTCTTCTCTTTTTCTTGGTCAATCTAGATAAAGGTCTGCAAATTTTGTTGATCTTTTTAAAAAATCAAGTTTTAGTTTTGTTGATTTTCTCTGTTGTTTTTTAATTCCCTATTTCATGTGTTTCTGTTGTAATCTTTGTTATTTCCTATTCATATTTGCTTTTGAGCCCCTTTTTCTATTTTTTTAAGGTAGAAATATACATTACTGATTTGAGATTTTTCTTATTTTAGGTATAGGTGTTTATAAGTATAAATTTTCCTCTGAGCACTGCATGAGCTGAGCCCTGCATCCTATAAATTTTGATATGTTGTGCTTTGATTTTTATCTCAAAGTACTCTCTAATTTCCCTGTGATTTTTCTTTTTACCCATTGTTTATTTAGGAGAGTGTTAATTTCCACACATTTGTGAATTCTCTAAATTTCCTTAGATTTGTTTTGTAGCCAAAAATTTTTAAAAATTTAAAAAAAGAAAAGAAAGGAAGAAAAGAAATACAGAGGAAAAGAAAGAAAAACAGAAGAAAAAAGAAATACACACAAAAACAAAGACAGAAAGAAGAAAGGGAAAAAGAAAGAAGGAAAGAAAGGAAAAAAGAAAGACACACAGAAACAAAGAAAGAAAAAAAAAAAAGAAAGAAAGAAAGAAAGAGGGGGGCTGGCTGGTTAGCTCAGCTGTCTAGAGTATGGTGCTGATAACACCAAGGTCCAGGGTTCGATCCCTGTACCAACCAGCCACCAAAAAACCCCCAAAAAAGATGAAACAAAGAGAAAAAGAAAGCTGCTCTCCAAGTGATTCTAAACCTAGTTTTTTGGGTTTTTTTTCCTTTTTGTCTTTTTTCGTGACCAGTAATGGGATTGCAACCCTCGGTGTCGCGTCCGCACCACACTCAACCAGTGAGCAGACCGGTCTCTATATGGGATCCAAACCCTCGGCGGGAGCGCCACCGGGCTGGCCCTAAACCTAGGTTTTTTTTGTTTTCTTTTTCCTTTTTTGTCTTTTTTCGTGTCTGGCAACGGATCGCAACCCTCAGTGTCGTGCCTGTACCGGACCGGGACTGGCAAGGGGATCGCAACCCTCGGTGCTGCGCCCGCACCTCGCTCAGCCAGTGAGCGGGAACCAGTCTGTATGTGGGATCCGAACCCTCAGCGGGAGCGTCATCGCGCTCCCAAACGGCGCACTGTAGCAGTGCGCCACTGGGCCGGCCCGTAAACCTAGGTTTTTTTGTTTGTTTGTTTGTTTTTTCTTTTTGTCTTTTTTCATGTCCGGCAACGGATCGCAACCCTCAGTGTCACGCACGTACCGGACTGGGACCGGCAACGGGATCGCAATCTTCGGTGTTGCGCCCGCACCTCGCTCAGCCAATGAGCGGGAACCGGTCTGTATGTGGGATCCGAACCCTCGGCGGGAGCGCTGCCGCACTCCCAAGCGGCGCACTGTAGCAGTGCGCCACCGGGCCGGCCCAAACCTAGGTTTTAATAAGCTCTCCAAGTGATACACAGCTAAAGATTAAGGACCACAAAGTCAATAGATTAAAAATAAATTTCAAAAAAAATATATGTAATAAAGATAACATTCAGAGGATTGACACTTAGAATATACAAAGACTTTTTACAAGTCAATGGGAAAAAGGACAAATAACCAAAGAGAAAAATGGGCAAAGCATATGAACAGCAATCAGAGTAGGGCAAATCAAAATATGACAAACAAAAAATGCTTAAATTCACCTGTATTCAGGGAAATGCAAATTAAAGTAACAATGTACATTCATCAAGACAGGAAAAATTTTAAAAAGATTTTAAAAGAGCAATGACATCTATGGATGGAGGGAAATGGGTACTTTCATACGTGGCTGGTGGAAATGTGAGTTCCACAGCCTTTGTGGGAAGCAACCTGGAAAACATCCACAAAACTGAAAATCCTCATACTATTCAACCTTGCAATCCCACTCCTAGGACTCTAGCCCCCAGAAATAAAAACACTCATATGTAAAGATTTAGGCAAAGAAGCATTTTTTGTAGCAGTAAAAAACGGAAATCTAGTGAATGTGTAGCTAAAGAATTCTGGTATATTTGCAGCATGAAATATAAGACAGTCAATAAAAAAGAAATAATTCGAGCAGAGGACCTCAACATTAGCTGCAATAGAATCACCAGGAGGGCTTGTTAAAACCCAGAGTGCAGACTGGCCGGTTAGCTCACTTGGTTAGAGTATGGTGCTGATAACTTGCTCCAAGGTCAAGGGTGCAGATCCCTGTACCAGCCAGCCACCAAAAAAAAAAAAAATTCCAAAACCCAGATTGATGGGTCCCTCCTCAGAGTTCCTAATTCAGTAGCTCTGGAGTGGGGTCCAAAAATTTGTGCTTCTAAAAATTCCCAGGTGATAATAATACTGCTGGTCCAGGGACCACACTTTGAGAATCTCTGGTCTAAGATACAAATAAGTGAAAAGAGCAAAATGTAAAAAATATATTTAATATGGTCCAATTTTTATAAAATAAATGACTTCTAATACACTGCACATATGTGTATTTCACATGAAGAAAAATATGGAAAATACTAAATAGTAGGAAATTAACATGGACTTTCTTGTGGAGGTGGTAGAAGGACAAATAAGAGGATGCCACTAAAACAGGGTGTGTGTGTACAGACACACACACACACACACACACACACACACACACACGAGAGTACTTCAAAAAGTCTGTGAAAAACAGAATTAAAAGATAATAACAAATCATTCCATGAACTTTTTAAAGATCCCTCATGTGTGTAAACACACACACACACACAGATCACATTTTATGCTTTTATGTAAAATTATTTGTATACATATAAAGGAAAAACCAAAAACCAAGTCATTTCTAGCCTTATATTCCTTCACCTAAAATACAATGATAGGGAAAACCACCACAACATTTTTTAGGCAAAAACAAACCTGATATGAAGACACAGGTGATGGAAGATATGGGGAGAGTGCAGACTGTGCAAGCATCCTGTTGGGGGTGATATTATAAGGAGCTGGGTAAAACCTGTAGGAAGGAACCTCAATCAGTAATTAGTCACAGGAAACTACAAGGTAAGGGCCCCCACTGATAAACACAGCCACTTTCCACTAACTGCTATTTGAAAATCAAGATGAAACATCCAAGTGCCTGGATGCAGGTCACTGTCATTTTCAGGTGGCCTGATTATATAAAACACACTTACCCATTCTGAAGAGCTGTGGTGGGGTCATAGGTCAAGGCCATACCACCCTATAAAGAAAGAACACAGCGTTCATATTGTGAGCACTTAGGTGAGAGCAGGAGCAAGCCCAGAATGTCAAGGCTGGAGATGTATTTAACTCAACTGATTAAAGTCTGAACAAGTCCCATTACAGCTGTTCCAGAGTTTTTCTGATTGTGCTGGCTACAAAACCCCACTCGAGATCCACATTGAAGAGTATGTTAAGCAGCCAGCATCTCTCAGTTACATATTGTAGCTCTCAAGCCTGACACCTAAGCTCACAGAAATCAGGCCACGGTAATTTCCATTCTACTTTAATATCCTTAATACTCCTATCTCCTCAGATGTCATCTTACCATGTCTCCATTCCTTGGCCAGGCCCGTCCATTTTGTACAAATTTTCCTTGGTTCTGTCGTTTCTTTGGCCCACCATCAGCAAATTTGCAAAGCAATGGATCAGAAGGGGCTGCCAAGAGAGAAACCAGATGGGCAAGCTGAGTCCCACCTCATTTAGCCCACTCACTCATGCAAAATTCCTCCAGAATCCTCACTGGAAGTAAAAACCTGTGACCCTCTTAGCTTGATTCCCAGATGCCTCACCTGGTACTCCAGGGGGTGTCTTAATATATTTTCCATTAAAGTGGGTGATGATGGCTTCACACTTCTCTGTGGACTCCATCCTAAGGAGCACAAGAGGGGTTAGGCTCTAGCTTCTTCAGGATTTGTGCTCTCCATACATTCGAAGAGAAAGCTCTAAGTTCCCAGCCTTGCATATGATCCAAAAGTTATGACTATAGAAACAGTTTCCACCACACAAATTCAAGGTATCTTGAAGAGGCAACCCCAGCTTCTTTTTTGTTTTTGTTTTGTTTTGGCAGCTGGCTGGTACAGGGATCCAAACCTTTGACCTTGGTGTTATCAGCACCGCACTCTAACCAAGTGAGCTAACTGGCCAGTCCAGCAAACCCAGTTTCTAATGAAGGTTCTCTCAATCAGCTCCTGAGGATCCTCAAAGGAATAATGGAGAGCTTCAAGCTATTAATATTCCAAACGAGGTACTGATGAATGAGCCTACTATTATGTATGGTACATAAAAAATACAAGAAATAGTGACTGTTACCATTATTTTTTATTACAAAATTTCTAATGAAAATCGTTCCTTTTCTGTTATAATACTGCACAAGCTAAGAATTTGCCAATATTTATTTTTTACTCCTGGTTATAATTATCAAGGTCTAATTAGCTACTGATAAAATCATTAAAATTTCATGAGTCTGTGACAGGGAAAAGTAACAAGAAAGGGTTCATGGTCCATGTGATAGAAAAAAAAGAATATTGGGAAGTACTGAGTTAAAAGATTCTTATTGGGGGAAGAGGACTGAGTAAGGAATCACAGGAGCTAGATTCTAGCACCAGTTCACTACCCAAAGTTCTGTGAGTTAGGACAGTCACAAAAATCCTCGGGGCCAATTCCTCATTTGTGCTTTAAAGATAATATCCCATCTACCCTACCACACAGTGTTGTATAGCTCAAATGAGATAATGTAGATAAATGTATTCTAAAAACTGTAAGGGCCTATATAATACAAGGTACAGTATCGTCATTTATTTCCATATTTAAAGTAAGGTACAGTATATTTATATTTCAATAACCACTAAAAACATGAACCATTCCTACATAGGAGGTAATTGAAGGGGGAAAAAAGCTTCAGATGGAATCTTTTAGAGAAAAACTACTTGTTAGTTATCCCCGAACAGTAATCTTCAATTGTGTTACTTTTACTCCTTACAGTCTTTCCAAAGGATGAGCAGGTGTGAAGAGTTTCAGAACCTCAGCTTCCTCAAAAACTCTTTTCTAAAACTGATCTGCCTGAAGGAGAACTCATGACTACTAAAGAATCAAGGCTGAAGTCCTCTCTTTCAATCAACTCCTCTCAATTTACTTTTCACCTGTTCTACAATTCAACAGTAGGCATTGGTAACTGAGTTACAAATCCCTTTTGTAAGTAAGATGGTTTCTAATTCTTTGCTTCCAAAAAAGTTGGAGGACCTTCAGCAAGTTGTCCATTGACACACAAAAATCATGTCTGATGATAGATCACTTTGGTTCTTGGCATATAATTCAGAAGGAATTCAAAGAATTCCTATTTTAACAAAACTTGTTCCATTCCCATCTATTTACGTGAACAAGGTTTTTGAGCATGAAAACAAAAAATAGGAACAAAGAAGTGGAATTAAACACTCTCCTGTTATAGCAATAAACAATACTCACTGATAACTACATGACCTAATTAGAAAAAAAATTTATTTTCTTTTTTTTTTGTCCTTTTTGTGACTGGTAAGGGGATTGCAACCCTTGGCTTGGTGTCGCCCGCACTGTGCTAAGCCAGTGAGCGCACTGGCCATCCCTATATAGGATCCGAACCCGTGGTGGGAGCGCTGCTGCGCTCCCAGCGCTGCACTCTCCCGAGTGCACCACAGGGCCGGCCCCTAATTAGAAAAATTTTAACAAAATAAAACTTATCCATGTCATAGAAGAAGCATTTCCAATAAGGTTTATGTAAAATAATTTTGCATAAACATTTTACTATATTTATGTTGTTTGGGGCAATTGTGAACTAATAATCATCAAGATAATTCTCTTATGGGTTAATAAACATAGCCTAATGACCACAGGGAAAGAAATTTTTAATGTATATACTGTATATTTTTGTTGCAGAGACAGTATAAAAGGATGATCTATAAAAAGACTTTCAATTATAAAAATATTTTACATTGAATACAATTCTGTAGGGAAATGGAATGGAAATACAAAATCAAGAAGAAAAAAAAATGTTATAAGAACAACATAAGATTTTTTGACCATTAAAAAAGAAATGGCCCATGTACTTTTTAAATGGATGATTTTGTATATTAATTTGCTATGATATTTAGCTCTCATCTGGATACATTTTAAAATGATATAACAGTTTTATTTAAAATGTCAATATTTATAATTTGCTGGAAATTATACTTTGCAAGAATCCATACATGAATAAAATTTGTAGATATTAACATAGAAACGTACAAGAAATTTCAGTTTTTCAAAAGTCTACAAAGCCACAGTTCCCACACTGTGCTCTAAAGCACCATGCGCCACTGTGGTAAATTCAAAGAGGCACAGTGAGGGATATTTTAACACCTTGAAGAAATACAGTAACATCCATTGGATACCATGTGCACTCCTGACTTAAAGTAGTTCACCATTTCAACATTAGCTCCCCCTACAATCCTTTTGATAGTATCATATTTTTGCAAAGCTGGGTTTTCAATAGTTGCTATGACAAAAGCAAGTACCATACAAAATCCAATGTGTAACAGGAAGTGAGGGTGTAGGTGTCTATTCTGATTCCAGTGCTTAAAAAGCTGTATAATGTGCAACAAGCACACATCCCATTAGTAAGTATAGTTATTTATGAATGAAATAAAGATATTTTCTCTTTCAATGTATGCGTTTTACTTTTTTCAAACAGCTACAAAGTTATTAAAGCATAAACACTTTCTTTTTCTTCTTTTTTTTTTTGGTGGCTGGCCGGTAAGGGCATCCAAACCCTTGACCTTGGTTAGACCATGCCCTAACCAACTGAGCTAACTGGCCAGCCCCAAAACATAAACACTTATTAAGTTATTTAGACAATTTGATTACTTAGTAAATTGAACTACTGGGTATTTCTTTTAGTCTAGGGCAAAAACTACTATGAAAACTAAGGGTGCCATGAACTTAGAAAGGTTGAGAACCTCTGCTTTAAGAGAATATGGGAGCAAAAAAGTTTGATGACCGCAAGTCCAGGAACTATCCTTTGGTTATACTTGGGATTGCCAGCAGGTGGTGCTACCAAGATTGAGTCTGTTAGGGAAGAGGATCTATTCCTTGTTCCCAGGGTCTGAAACACCCAGGACCAGACAAGATATTATAAAACAAAAAGGGATCTTCAGATCACTTAGTCCAATAGTTTTCAAACTTTTAAAAAAAGCAACAGAATCCCCTTTGAAACAAAATCTTAAACAAAAGCAGAACCATTTCTTAAGTGGGCTAGGGGAGGCCAAAGCCCTACAATAATGACACCTGAGCCCAGAAGAGGGCACCCTGGAAAACTCTGCAGCTCTAGGGAAAATCCTAAGAAAATCACTCATCTAAATCAATCTCCACTCCATAGAGTAAACCAAGGTTCACAAAGATTTGATATCACAGGGGCAGTTAGTGGCAGAGTTGGTTCTAGAATGTAGGTCTCCCAAAAGATCTGAAATAGTGGACCAAACCCTCCATCTCTTCCTACTGATCTTAAAGCCAGAAGGATTAGGGCTCTGCTATACCACCCACTCCTATGAGACCTTGGGCAAATCACTTCACATTGAGGAATTCACTTTTTTTTTTTGGCAGCTGGTTAGGATCTGAACCATGACCTCAGTGTTATAAGGCTGTGCTCTGATCAACTGGCCAGCCCCTGAGGAATTCACTTTCTTCACCTATATTTTTATTTATTTTTTGGCAGTTGGCCTGTACAGGGATCCAAACCTGTGACGCTGGTGTTATAAGACCATGCTCTCACCAATAAAGCTAACCGGCCAGCCCTTACTTTCTTCATCTGTAAAATAGAGAATATTTATCCCATAGGATTGTTATAAAGATTAAATGAGATAATAGGTTGAGAAACTACTCAGTAAGCTATAAAAATGTACAGAATTAGTTTATTCTGGTTGGGTCTGGATCAAAGGAACAAAGGCTAACGTAGCAGGAAGTAACAGAGAAAGGATAAAGATTTGGGGGCTAATGGCTTTTTGAGTGTTGTGCCTTATAACAAAATTAACTTTTGATTCATTTACTGTTAAGTATTTTTGACCAATAGTTTGGTCCCTTGCAGGGGAAAGGAGCACAGATTTTTGGTGACCTTCTAAGTGACATTCTTTATTGACCTCATTGCTCCCCACTCTTGCCAGCCCTCACCTTGCAAAGCCAACCCCTCTGCTGGTCCCACTGGTGTCTCGAAGGATTCGGGTAGAGATAACCTGGCCAAAGGGCTTCAGCATCCCCTCCAGTTCTTGTTCATCCATTGACAATGGGAGGTTTGAGATGTATAAATTTGTGGGGTCCTGCTCCTGTTGCTATGGATATAAAAGTGAGAAAATGAAGCTCACATCTCTCATCCCTCTTCCACCCTCAGCCCTCGACCACAAAGTGACAATTCAGAAAAGAGATAGTAGGAAGGGTCCCACATAAACAAAGAGAATCTTAACTATTTGTAACATATGGTCCCACCACCAGGGGTTACATATTGACTCCAGTGGGGGAAAAAAGCAGATTTAATATTTCCAGTACTATACAAGCCCATAATACAAGTTATCAATGGTGCTAGGCTGTCTTTTTAAGAACTAGGCAGAGCAGCACTATTCCCTCTTCCCCAACAGCCTGTCCCAGAGGCTGGATTCTCTTGGACTGCCTTGCTCCTTGGCTAGATTGTTGTGAGTAATCCCCCCCCCCCTTTCCGGCCACAGCAGAATCCTTTAAGTAGGAATGACTATTCACTCCTTATGGAAGGAAAGCAGGAAGAGAAGAGAAGGGAACAGAAAGAGCCAGATGTGTAGCTCACTGAGTCACCAGGAGCCCTGAAAGCTATAGTCTCCCAGGAACCGTGAAGGCTCCTAAACCTTTGAGCTTTTGTCAGAGGGCTTTACTCCAGAGAGCCTTTCCAGATGACAGAATGTGCAAAATGGCAATATCTTCCAAGAGTTATATTTTTAAGAATTTAAGCAATTGTTCTGCCCTAGACGGTGGGTCACCAGCAAGCTTAATCCTTCTTCTGCCTTTCATTCGGGGCTTCCTTTTTCTTTAACCATTATAGAAAAAGTGGCTGGCAGGCCTGCCTCATCAGCTCTACATATAGTATTCAGAACGGCTTCAGAACGGCAAGGGGACAGTCCCATCTAAGAGAAAAGCTTCCGGTTTTCTAGTAATCTACATGAAAACAACAGCTCCAGAGAGATCTGAGAAGGGACAGTTTCCTTCCTTGCTGTGGCTTCCCTGTCCCCTCCTCAACCTGCCACCCTAACCCTACAGGGTACAGTATTGCGAGGTGGAGAACGTTGTTCTGAATTTCTGAGTTGCACAACTGGCTTCTTCATAGAATGTTGCAACTACCACAATCTGTCTGGTAGGGAAGTGAGGACAGGGTGGAGATAGGGAAGCAGCAGGAGTACTGGAAGAGGCCTCCTGACTCTCTTGCCTGCTTACAATAACTTGATGAGATGAACAGAGTTGGCAGAGCTACTTGCTGCAGACTTTGAATACAATCTTCTTCCAGCAGCCAGCGGTCCTCAATGGACCCTGGCCCAGACTGTCTTTGGCTAGATGTAGTCAGAAAGCACTGCAGGTAGCCATTGCCCAACAATTTTGTGGTTCTTAAGCCCTTTGGAAGCCTTGAAACTGGAACTTTGGTGCTAACCACAGCCCCTCCGAAGACAGACATGGGGTAGTACCCTTACCTTTGCCATCTGTGCTTGTATACCACTGGCTTTCAGTGCTGTTACAGCTTTCTGTGCTGCTGAAGGACTGTCAAAATCCACAAAGCCATAGCCTGGAACAGGGAAACAGCATGACTGGGAGGTGAGAGGTGTAAGGGAGGTAGGAGGACCAAGCTTTTCAGGAGACAAAGGAAGAGTTATAAACCATGTAATAGAAATGGTAGGGAGAAACAGAAATTAAGAGGTTTCAGGTGGTTATTCATGTGCTCCTCAACTCCCAAGATTTGGTCTACTTTACGTCTAAGACTGCCAAGGGCAATGAGGTCCTTGTGGTGTCCCTGCCTTTCTCTCTCCCCCATAAGAAATCTGAGGTTTCAGGAATGAGGCTCTTCTAATAATCCACAGCCCCACACTCCATACTTCTAAAGGAACCCCCCTTCTTTTCTAGACACACCCCAGAAATGCTAGGCATGTAGGGAATGCAGCTTCTCCAGAACAGACAACCAGCTACCTACTGGAAGAGGACCCTCCCCACACAACCTATAGCACTTTCTCCTCCTTCCACTCTTCCAGCTCCACCAAGAACCACTCAAAACCCCAATAAAACTATTCATCTTCTGAAATAATACCTACCAAGTCACCCTCCCTCCTCAAAAAGCATTTACACTGCTTTTCTTGGTAGAAACAATCTCACTACATACTCCACCACCCCATTCAGGGAAACGTAAGGTCTAGAGCAAGCCCGAGGGACTTGAAGGTGCTCTGTGCAGTCTTCTGGACTTGGGTCCCCCAAACAGCTTTTCAGCTCTAGCTATCTGGTCACCAAAGAATCTAAATATCTCCTAGTCTTTTAACCCTGGAAACCTCAGAGATTCCTCCCTGGCACTGAGTACTTGGACTCTCAGCAGTAAAGGGCAGAGGCAAGGGATGGCCTCATTCACTGCTGCTTTCCATCACCAAGGATAGCTGTTCTCTCACCTTTGCATTTGTTTGTGGTCTTGTCCAGTATGGCCTTAGTGGAAACAATCTTGCCATATCTAAAGGAGAGGAAAATGCAAAGTGATAATCTGGGGGCAGGGACTAAGAATAGGACAGAGATTGAGACATGTGAATAAATCCATGCCCTTCCTGTGCTCCCACTAGGACAACTTTTCCTACTCAAATCTTAATAAAAAATAAATAAATGAATTAAAAATGCCACCCTTACTATAAACCTATCCCCCAAAGGTGCCTACAAGAAATAAGGTAACTGTAATCCTAATAATATCAACACACTTCTCTCCTCTTCCCCAGCTAAGACTCAGACACCAGTTGGAAAGAGATGACTTTCTTTTTGGGAAAGAAGCTTGACAATGTCCACATAGCAGAATGTGTAAGGGGCAGAACTCTGGCTAGACTTGCTTCAGGACTAAATATAATCTTTGATATTACTATACTTATTATCTTCTTTTGGACAAATATCATTCCTCCTATGAAAAAAACTAGACATTTCTCTTCTCTCACACTCCATTCCCACACCTCTACTGACCCCCTAATTGAAGGTTAACCTGAGCCAAATTGCTTTGGTTCAAATCCTGGTTCTGCCACTTTCTAGCTATGTGTGATCTTGAACAAGTCATTTAATACTTTCTGTGTCTCAGCCTCACCATCACCTGTAAAATGGAGACAGAATTGCTGCAAATATGAAATGAGTTAATTAATACCCATATAATGTCTACCCCATGGTAAGCACTTGAAAATATTAACTGTTATTATTATTATTATTATATTCAAGGGACCTCAACTTTAATCTACTGCAAATGGCTCTCTCTCCTGCTTTATCACATTCTAATAATTCTATTTCTCTCTCTCTCCTTTTTTTTGGGGGGGTGAGGGGCAGCTGCCCAGTACAGGGATTGAACCCTGGACTTTGGTCTTATCAGCACCACAAAGAATTCTACTTCTCACTGTCAAGATTTGAATGTGTTAGGGAGGAAAGTAGGAACAAGAACCGATGTAACATCAGTGTTAAGAAAAATCATCTAATGGCTGGCTGGTTAGTTCACTTGGTTAGAACATGGTGCTAGTAACATACCAAGGTCAAGGGTTCTTGGGATCCCCTCACCAGCCAGCTGCCAAAAAAAAAATGTATGGAAGGAAGGAAGGAAGGAAAGAAAAAGAAAAAAAATCATCTAAAACTTGGTGATAAAGCAAAAGGAGATGTTCCAGGATGACGCCAACAGCCTTTCAATGTCATTCTGGAACAGTCTAAAAGCCTAGTCATGGAGTATTTCATCATCTAAGGGATGTTTCTTTGCTTGAAGTACTAATGATTAGGGCCCAGGCTCCGTGAAGATGCAGTTAACCTGCAGACTTTTGTCCAGTAGAAATACAAATTACTTCTGTCTGGTATAAATGATAATCCCACAGGCTACTGGTTTTATTGTCCTGTAGGACATGAACCAGTTTTGTATCTAATCTAGCAATCTTATTCCAACATTCTGTCTTCAGTGCCTATAAATACTCATTTCCTCAAATGCTCTTTTAACCCATTTCACCATCCTGCTCGTTCCCTCATTAATGAGTTAAATAATTTTTTGACATGTTCATTCTATATCTGTACAAGAATCATGTTTTCCAACTTTTTGAAAATTATTCTTCGGCAGCAGAATCATGTGGCGTTCCCAAAACTAGCCGTGAAGTCTCACAGATCAGGGATTACATTAGAGGTGTTCCATTAGAAAAAAAGCATCTACATTCCACTCTAGGAGGATGAAAGTATTAAAGAGACAGAACAAAAATCACTAACAAAGTCAGGAGTACGAGAGCAACTAAAAACAGCTGGCAGGGACTGAACTTGAAACCAATACCCCAAAAGAAGCATTTTTTTCCCATCTCTCCTCTCATCCCTAAAGAATATATGATGATTGATTGATTTGTTTTTGCTCCTTGGTGGCCCCTCACTGATTTTTTTAGTGAAACTTCTGTGACCCAAAGGATTAGACAGAATAAGCCAAGCAATGCCCTGGAGGCTGGAAAAAGAACACATTAAAAGGGGGATGGGGGTGGATGTAGTGATCCTAGCCCTTCAGGGATACATATTTGGATTATTTCCCAAATTTAGGCAAGGAGAGGGACTCATGAGAAGTCTGACTGTAGGCCAAAGGACACACATGCTGCTATCCCTATCAAGGCCCCAGGGTGGAGCTTGCTGTGGTCTAGCAGCCTGAGACTTTGAGCTCAGAATTTCCACTGCAGCTGGCAACAGCTGGGTCACTGCTGCTTCCTCCTTGGAAGAAGGAGCTTCTCCAAGAGAACCGAGAGTTCCAGTCCCAGACTTTGTGCCTCTCCTTTCCACCCACCAGGGTTTAGGATCCAGCAACATTTACTTCCCCTACAACCTAGGGAAAGACAATTGGGACAAAGGCAGGAAACCCCTCTAAGCATGAGAAACACCCTTCCTAGAAAGGGTTAACTCTGCGCACAGCCTCCACAAGGGCTCCACCCAGCTGCTCTTCCCAGCCTCCCTCCATCATAACTGCTCTAGCACCTATTTCTTCCTTGCCTCCTCCCTCTTCTCCACAGTCTTTTTGGCTCCTTACTTCCATCCTACGCACTGGCTCTGACCATTCTCTTCCCTTCAGACACAGCAAAAGGTAAGGCAACTGTTAGGAAGGGCAAAATGAAAGTCTAAAAGTATACTGAAGTTGAACTGAGTTTCTTATCTGTCTTGTGATGTGAGAGGATTTTTGTAGCACATTATATTTAGTACAAGAAACACAGAGTGCAGAAATCAAGGGCCTAGATTGATATGATAATCTTCTGTCACAAACCAACATTTCTGCCAATTCCCACCTTCTCCCAAAATGACTAGTCCTAGACTAAGTCTCCTAAGTTCCACTTAAGTACCTTTTTAGCAAGGTAAGCTGAGATAAAGGACAAATCAGTTTTATACATATACCTTACCTTTAGAGATTGAGTTTGTATGGCCTGGCGCTAGCAAAAACCCATATGATTTGCATGCACCAAATCACTACCTCAGAAGAGTAAGGGATTTATAGAGTACCCCTGATGCCCCATACAACTACATTTTGGGGGGCAAATGTTCTGCCTCTTTAGGATTTAGAGAGGCTGGAATTTATATGTACTATCATGGGAGACTGAATTAGTTTAACCACTTCAGAAAATTATTTAGGAGCATCTACAAAAGCTGAACAGATGTATATTTTATGACCCAGCAATTTTATTCCTAGGATATAAGTATACCCAACATGAATGTGTATACGCATGCACGAACAGCACATGTAAGTTTACAACAGCATTATTTATATTCAGAATAGCCACAAACTGAAAACGACCCAAATGTCCAACAACAGTAGAATGGGTAACTATGATATATTCTTCTGATGGAAATCTGTAAAGCAATAAGGATAAACAAAGTTTTGCTATATGTAACAACATGGATAAATCTCATAAACAACATTTAGCAAAAGAAGCCGGACATAAAAGGGTATGTATTTTATGATTATATTTATATAAAGTTCAAACAGGCCACACCAATCTATTATTTAGAAGCCAACCAAACTGGCTAGTTAGCTCAGTTGGTTAGAACATGGTGCTGATAACACCAAGGTCCAGGGGCTGAACCCTGTATTGGCCAGCCACACACACAAAAAAAGTCTAAAAAGATGGTAAATGTACACAGTTCCTATTTCTTCCTCTTTCCACCATTCATTTACCCAAACTCAATTCTTTCCCTCTGTCCATACCCCTTCCAGACTTCTTCCTCTAATCTTTCCCCCAAACATATTACTTGAAACACATGCTTTTCTGCCAAATGAAATTGAGTTAGGCATCTCAGCACTCTTGCAATTTTTCCAGCATTCCTAACTGGGCTAATTCCACGGTAGTTATCTTCACCTCATGACTCAAATATACTATGAAGAACTCCAAAGGGTCTTAATGGGATATGCGAAGTGACAGCCTCTTTCTCCATCTTCCTCTTTATTCACTAATTTGAGGGTTCCTCTGATTCACTAGGAATACCTCTAGCAGCAGAAATTCTCCAAAGTATATAATTCAATTGGCTAGTCTCACTTTCTTCTGTACCCACTGTCAGTTCTCACTGCCTTCTAATCAATATCTATAGAGATACTGAGCATTTCTATTCAAGGTGTAAGGATAGCAATCTTTCCAGTAAGACCATCAGTTCAGGGGAGATGCTGGAAACAGAGTTGGATACGAGGCTTCAGAGGCCAGCCCCATTCTGGCTTCCCTCAGAGAAACACATAAAGGTTTTATGTATCAGTAGTAGGCAGAATTTTTTAAATAGGGGCTGTGAGAAACCTTATGACTATGGGGTAGAAGCAAAATACTATTGCATTTCAGGATAAGAATTTCTGGTGGCTGTCGACCTACAAACCTGAGAGTGTGAGAATAAAGGCTTGCTGCTATTTGCCTCTGAATTTGGGGGTGGTTTGCTATACAGTATTATCGTTGCAATAGCTGATTATGATAGGAGGCCATTACAGTAGTCCAGGGAGGAAACAGTGCTGGCATGCACAAGGTTGGAAGTGGTGGCAATGGGGACAGCTGGGGAGATCTTTGATGATGGGCTGGAAATAAAAGGTGAGGGACTAGAAGGTATGTATTAGTCCATTTCTGTTGCTTATAACAGAATACCTGAAACTGGGTAATTTTAGAAAAGAGGTTTATTTGGCTCACAATTCTGGGACAACTGCATCTGGTACAGGCCTCAGGCTGCTTCTACTCAAATCTGTAGAGGCCTGCCTCCATGTACCCCAACTTACGGCTGACACAGTTTGACAAGGTCCTGGTCAGTAGTGCCTGGTTGCAATCCTCGGATGTACAGGTTGGTTTTGCTCAGCTGGTCATTTCCATTGCTCCCACTACTGCTGTTAGGGGTACTGCTGCTTGGACTAGGTGGTGCCATCTGCTGAGCCAATGACACATATGGCTGCAGGGAGACATGATGAACATAACAGTCAGGAGGATTGTACATTTAGATGGAGAAGAGTGAGGAAGATCCTGGTCCCCTGTTGTATCTTTCTTTCTTTCATTTACATGTTTATTATTTTAGCTCCCATTTATGAGTGAGCACATAAAAAATGATTTCAAACGTTAACAGCAATGAACTCAACAGGAGAATTTAAAAAGTAAATAAATAAATAAGTAAAAGGAATTCTTCTGTCATAGAATAAGAAAATATATAACTATCCTACCTATCTTTCAGGAATAATGAGAGGTCAAAATAAGCCTATTAAAGGTTTCTTACAACACCAAGGTCATGGGTTCAGATTCCCATATCATCCTGCCACCCCAAAAAAATGTTTTGAAAAAGGTACTTTACATTGTAGTGGAATGTTTTTTTATCGTACAGATGTAACAGAACATGATTAATGTCTGCCTCTTAGATAAACTGTGTAGTGCAATAAGACTAAAAAAATCTAGGTTCCATTCAAAATTGATAAAGAGGAAATAATAAAAACTTATCAAATCAAGCTGTCTGGTTAGCTCAGTTGGCTAGAGTGTGGTGCTGATAACATCAAGGTTCAGGGTTTGATCCCTGTATCAGCCAGCAAAAAAAAAGAGATAAAAATGTATCAAATCATGATAGTTATAAATAAGTTGAATACAGATTATTCACAAAATTTTAGTATATGAGAACTGCAAAATATCTCCAGGAGCTTGAAAATTATTGTAAACTTGAACAATAAAAGGAAATATTAATTATTATGTCAGGTAGTAAAAATAAAATTAGTTACCATACCAACAGGAATTTAGTGATAAGTTATTTATTAAGTTTTTAAAAGTTTAAATGAATGAATACTAGATACACTATGGTCAAGAAAATATAGGATTTGGGACAAAACATCTCTAATCTTTCTCAGGTGATGATAGGACAGACAACCAGATCCTGCTACATTTTCTTTTCTTTTCTTTTTTTTTCTGGTGGCTGGCCAGTATGGCCCTGATATGTTTTCTATGTACTTCTGTTAGAGACAAAATATCAGACTGGTGGAAACATGGATCTATTCTTTCATGGCATATTTTACATCCTTATGCTCTAATCACATTTCTAGTGTTTATGTCACTAGAAAAATTCATCTAAATTTGCATAATTACCCATAATATAGTGCAATTCACTATATCACACTCATATTTCAATTCTCCCTTGGCATAGAGCACTTTATAGTATAACCCTATTTGGTATTACGTCCCTCTAAAATGTTAATTTCATTTCCAGATTTTTCCCCCCTCTCTCTTTTTGGTGGTGGTGGTGAGGGACTGGGGTAGTAACAAGAAAAAGAAAAAGAGAAACATGATTATCAAAGAGGGGAAATCTTCCCCCAAAAGAATATTAATTAATGTGAAATGTGCCTCTTGTATGAGTATTTCATACCTCTGACCTATGGCAAACTTCAAAATAATTTTTTTTTTTTTTTTTTTTGGTGGCGGCTGGCAAAATAAAAGTCTTTGCTCAGGCCGAAATATGTAGAAGCAGATGGTTCTCTATCTTCATCACTATACACAATCACAAATGTACACCCACTTGCACATACACAGTTTACTCCTTAGTTCTATATTTTAGCAGTTTATGAAATCTACCATAGTACAGCAGGATTAAGGGAAACATTTTGCTCTTCATTTTCTAGCTTAGGCCCTGACATAGGACTGCTGGCCCCAGAGAACCATTTCAGATGAGGAGAAACAAAGAGAGACAATATAGTCCTATCCTTCCTTCCCCCAGAATATTAATTAATTTGTGGAAGGAGCTGGTAGGATAGGGATATAGAATATATACCTTCTTCACCTTTTACCCAGAAAAGAAAAATCAAACTCCCCTGTTCCTATAGTAGGAACTTCATGTTTCCTGTCTTGCTGAGTTACAGGAAACTAGGAGACAAAAGAATGTCCTTCCCTTTGCTCTCTTTCAAGAGATCATAATGGTAGGGATGGTACAATGCCTACTTCCCAATCATCAGGTTTTCATCAGATCTTTAAGAGACTGATCCAGTCAGATGAGCTTCCTGTTCATTAGAATCTAGTGTAAGTAAAACACTGTCTATAAGGAAGCTGTATTTTTTTTTTTTTAAAGATGACCAGTAAGGGGATCTTAACCCTTGACTTGGTGTTGTCAGCACCACGCTCAGCCAGTGAGCTAACCGGCCATCCCTATGTAGGATCCGAACCCGTGGCCTTGGTGTTATCAGCACCACACTCTCCCGAGTGAGCCATGGGCCGGCCCTGGAAGCTGTATTTTTTTTTTTGTCTTTTTTCGTGACCGGCAACGGATCGCAACCCTCAGTGTCGCGCCCGTACCGGACCGGGACCGGCAATGGGATCGCAACCCTCGGTGTTGCCCCTGCTCCTCACTCAGCCAGTGAGCGGCTGGTCTGTATGTGGGATCCGAACCCTCGGCGGGAGCGCCGCCGCGCTTCCCAAGTGGCGCACTGTAGCAGTGTGCCACCGGGCCGGCCCTGGAAGCTGTATTTTTGAAAATTAGGTTCTCTGTTCATTGTGCCCAGTTTAATAAAACTCACAGATCCTGTATCCATTCATTTGCTATCAAAATCATCCCCACACCAAATGCTTAACTTTATTATTCACCACCAGAGCAGGAGAAAACCCCATCCCACATCTGCTGCCTAGCTAAGTTCCTGGCACATGGTCAGCATTTATTAAAACGAGTGAAATAAATTTATGGGATTTGCTAACTGCTAAGCTGATATTAGGCTATCACTGGTTACCACGAACTAGCACAGAATTCAGCCTAGTTTGATATCCCACTACTTCATTTCCTGGTAGAAAAGTCACAAGATAAATATATTTTATTGAAGCTCAAGTCACAGCAGAGAAAGAATGGGATATTTCCTGAAATCCCCTTTTCTGAAAAACACCACCACAAAACAAGAAAGGCATCTCTGGAACACATACAGCTGAGGCAGAGAACACATACCACATATCTGCCTAGCCTAGCTGGTTTTAAAAGCTGACCATCAGTACTTTCTACTATTTCCTCTTAGATCGAGTAAACCTAACACCATCTCCAGCTCCTTATCCCTTCCTCCCTTCTCTTTCTTGGCTCTTACCCACTATAATAGCAATCTATTTCCCTCATCCCTTGAATACCAAGGTGGTAACAGTAAGGTGCACGTGGCCTCCAGGGAGTTACATTTATACTAGGTGGTACTCAAACTGGGGCTCAAGTACAAAACTGACATTTTAAAGTCCCGAGCCAAAATAACTGTAGACTTCTTTTTTTTTTTTTTTTTTTGTCTTTTTTCGTGTCCAGCAATGGATTGCGACCCTCGGCGTCGCACCCGCACCTCGCTCAGCCAGTGAGCGGGAACCAGTCTGTATGTGGGATCCGAACCCTCCACGCTCCCAAGCGGCGCACTGTAGCAGTGCGCCACCGGGCCGGCCGTAACTGTAGACTTCTCAGTTAAGCGTGTTGCCAAGGAATCTATTTGCCCTTCCAGATCTACTTGCCCGCCTTGTTCACCTTCCTTTATGCCCCTGGCAGCTGACCCTTCCCTCTGGCTTCCAGTTTGGTTTGGCCAACCAGATGTATAAAGGTAAGAGATTAAAGGGCAGGAGGGAAATGAGATCCGAGTACTTGTATCCCCAGCTACTTCCTCTACTGGAACACCATGATTTGGCTGCATACCTCTACTGAAGCCCACAACTCTCTCCATACAGCTATTCTCAGATTCTGATAACATCTCTCAATCTCTTGACCCTTTAGATGCAGAGGTAATGTAAGCTCTATAGTTACTGACCTTAGGGTACTCGTCTCCTTTCTCACTGGTTTCCCTAAATCCCTTTGTAAATAGTCCTTTATTAAACCCTTCTCAGGTTTCGGTATGCTGTTTCCTTTTGGGACCCTGATTGATGAACCTATTTTACACTACAGGCTCAGGTGAAAGAAGATTTGTGCCTGAAACTCTTGATAAAACTCTTGCTTTCTTCAAGATTGGATAAAGAACCTCCTCACTGAAAAAATCCTCAAGGCACAGCTTAATGCAGAACTCTGTTCTATATCTATTTCTCTAACACTTTAATAGTATCTTAAGTCCTGTCACATATATGATTCATTTGGTCTTCCAAACAACTCTGTAAAGTGGAGTAGAAGATGTGTCATTCTCCTTTTAAAACTTGGAAACTAAGACTCAGACTTATTTCAACACTTTGTTATATCACTCTACTTTTTAAGTAAAAGTAAGTAACAGAAATCCTAAATACTGGCAGTACCCAAACCAGGGCACATAGTGAAGTGAACATATAAGACAGCCTTTTATACAACCCTACATCTTTTTTTTCTCTCCCTTCTAGAAAAAAGAACAGTTCAAAGTTCCCTGGAAATAGGTAATGTCTATTCAGGGTAGAACATTTACAACAAAGGCATCTGAACCATGAATCAAATGAGAAGTTAGAGGAAAATCTCTTACATAAAACTGATGCTTAACTAGACTAACTAAAGCAAGAACCTTCAACTGAAGTATACAGGCAACAGTAAGGTGGGCTAGCCCTTTTAGGCACAGTATTTTTTTTTTTTTTTTTTTTTTTTTTTTTCCGTGTCCGGCAAAGGCTCGCATCCCTCAGTGTTGCCCCCGTACCGGACCGGGACTGGCAATGGGATCGCAGCCCTCGGTGTTGCTCCCGCACCTCGCTCAGCCAGTGAGCGGGAACCGGTCTGCATGTGGGATCCGAACCCTCGGGCGGGAGCGCCGCCGCGCTTCTCAAGCGGCGCACTTATCCAGTGCGCCACTGGGCCGGCCCTAGGCACAGTATTTTTAGGCAGCACAAGCACATGCCTGCAACCAAGCCCACGGAATAGCCGACTGCACCACCAGTTTGTGGGTACATGTCAGTGTGGCAATATCTCATAAGTCAATGAAACATATACATTCACCAAAAAGTTTAATAACTTATTAGCACAGAAAAAGAATCTTT